GTTGCATCACACCTCAACCCGCCTCAAAGCCAACGCTGATTGGACGTTCGTTTAGTGAAAGGCTCCAAATTTTTTCAACCGAGAGTCTCCAGACTGATTAGCGAGTGAAACTTTGAAAGCTCACGAGATCAGGATGGTCTCACGAGGCTACTTTGACCCTGCTCTCTACTGTGCAGATATCTTTACATGTGAGGGAAACCTCTTCCAGGACAGTACAACTTTTTTCTCTTTTTTAATGCTTTTTTGTACTATATACCCTCTTTTATTGTTGTCTGTTGTATTTTTATCTTTAATGCCATCTTGCATTAACTGTGTAATGATAGTTGGTGGTGATCCTCGGGTGGTGGCTGATGGATCTACAGTTACTCGCCCCGAACTCTTTCAATAGGGTTTTTGTACGTATTTTCCAAAAATGAGCTCAAACATATATTGCTTCCCTATTGCTGAGCACACAAGAGAACCATATTACACTGATATTTATAAATATAAATATCAGTAAATATAAATTTATACTTTCAAATTTGCGACTCTCCCTGCTTCTCTCTGTGCTCTGTTTAAACAAGATTTATGAACTTCTTTACTAATATAATGATGCCAGAAATTAAATTTTCAAGATATGTAGAAGCTCTGCTGTCTGATTCTGTCTGCGGATGTCTTGGGGACAGTTATTTGCCCCAAGTAATAAATGCTTGCATACCATATAGAATAAATTATGAACTGATTAGTTTGTGACTTCAGCTCGTTGGCCATAGGAAGACTTGGATATTACAAAACCGAATATCTTCAGAACAGCTCCACTGTTATGGGTGAGCAGAACATGATGTAGCCTAATAACATCAAATCAAGGGCCCAATGTAAAAAAAAACAACAACAAAAAAACGGTGTTCCCCTTTAAGTAACAGGTGTGTACTTTTGACACCACTGCTCAAATCCATGTTCAGCACATTTCTTTACCTCCAATTTTAGGTATAGAAGGTGAAGTAACTTGACTGCATCTTCTTGTTCAAGGTGCGTAATGTAAACAGATTATCCAGAAAAATAAGTGGGTTCCTTTTTTAGCTTTAACACACAGCTTTTTTTCAGCAACACATTTTAAAACCAAATCATCGCTAGTTTCAATACCCTGCAGAAATTATGCAAACCTGGAGAAAGAGACATCAACCACCCCTGTGACCGCTTCTAAGCATTGAGCTTTTAGAGGCCAAAGGCATGGTCACCCTCTGGAGGAGGGGGTCATCGACAGGGCGTGGGGAGGTCACTGTTGAGGTCATGCTGCCTCTAAAAGATGCCCAGTGTGTGGCGTGTCTTTGTTTGGAAAGGTGAAGATTGTTCGCTCAGAAGGTGTGAAGAGTTCAGCGCCTCAATGAGGCTGCTGGGCAATGCTCAATTCAAATTAGACCTCAGTCTCTAAGCTGCTAGTAAAAGGAAAGAACCCAATGAGGAATGGATTAATCTTCAAAATTAAAATACCAAGAGTAATTATTTTAAAGGCTCCTCTTGTTTTCATATTTACTGAAATATGAAGATTCATATTTTTAAAATAAAGGAATTAACTCGAACGAGCTATAATTTCACTGCCGTGAGTCGCTTTCTTTGGATCGATGGAAGCTGTTTGAGTGATCAGAAGATTAAAGAAACCAGCTGCGATAAGTTGCTGCTCCCCAGCCAACCCCATGATAACCGCTTTGTCCATGTTTGCTCATCGGCCATTCATAGCCGAAATAATCCCCCCCCATATTTGTTTCATGGTTGTTAGTCCTCAGATTGGTCACTCCCTGCTCGGTTTAGCATTCAGCTGCTTACTGAAGACGTCACCGTCCGAATGAATGTAGCGATGTGCGGGGCAACTAATCTGAAATGACCCTGCTGAGTTTTTCCGGGGAAGCTGAGGAAGCTACGGGACCGATTAGGCTCCTATAAGAGAGATGATTCTTGTAGAGATTAGTCATGTAGTGAGCAAGGATCGTTTCCCCCCCCAGAGGACCACACACTGACAGTGTAGCCGTGTCACTATTGTCCCTAAGCCACCACCATAGTGAACTCGCAGGCTATTGTCTCAGAAATCCTCCAACATATCCCCCAAAACCTGGAGTCAAGGCCCATGATTGGCACTTGTCAGGGCTGATAGAGAGGGTGACGT